ATATATATAAAAATTTCAAAATACTTAAAAGATTTCTTACATATGTTTATGTATCTATATACAGAGGAAAAGAAGATTAAATAAAAAACGGAAAACATTTGCGAAAAATTGAGGAAATTTGTCAAAGATTGTCATGTCGGGCTGCTTGGAAAATTGACGAACAGCTTAAGCACATATTATATTTTTGGAAAATAAAGAAAACGTTACATTTGTTTTTATTTTTTATTGCGATCGCTTTAAGCAGCTTTTGACGCAGTTGTTGTCGTTGTCGTTGTCGTTATTGTTCGCTTGACATTGGCACTGGCTTTGGCATCGAGGTGGAGGAGGACGTTGACGTTTGACACCCACCCCCAGCAAAACGCATATATAACACCACAATTGACGTCGTTGAAATAAACAAAAGCCAAGCATAGATAAAGATACAGATACAGATACTGTCAAAGATACAGATACGCATACATTGAACAGCTGCAGATACAAATAGAGATAGAGATAGCGATAGAGATAGAGATAGGCATAAAACAACAAATGCGTTATAAATACACGTGACTAATTATAAACATAATATGATTTTATACACACATACATACATATATGTATATATAATTTATAGCGCCATGCTGTGTACATTGAAAAGGGAAAGTGTATTTCCGTTCAAGGGGGCGTATACGCAATCTGTGTGAAGGCTATGCGAGAATATTTGTGTGGGTGCTCTTCGGCTGATAAAAATACAACAAAATAAATACCATTTGCATAACAATTATATGAGCACATATATATCTCTCTATTAATAACTAAATTTATATAATATTTATCTATTTATATATCTGCATTGTCTTAGTGTTAAAAAATTGAAATGACTTTTTCCTTGCAGCTGCAAGATGCCCACACCGCATACCAGATCCCAGGATGAACTATCGACTGTCAATGCTCTCGTGTCCAAAAATCCGGACACGGATAAGGATAATGAAGAGGAGGAGGAGGAGATAGATACGGCGGCGGTCGTTGTGCCACCGGACAGCGGCTGGGCGTGGGTGGTCATGGTTGCCTCGTTCCTCTGCTGCACAGTGATCGACGGCATCGTCTTCTGCTCGGCCATCATCCAGGAGGAGCTGATGAAGGAGTTCCATGTCAGCAAGTTTTATGTGACCTTCGTCTCGTCGCTGCTCAGCGGCTGCTACCTGATGGCCGGACCCTTTGTCAGTGCCTTGGCCAATCGCTTTGGCTTCCGTCCGGTGACCATTGCCGGCGCCATCTTCGGCGCGATCTGCTTCGGCCTCTCGTACTTCGCCACCAGCGTGGAGTTCCTGTTTGTGGTCTACGGCATCTTGGGTGGCATTGGCTTCTGCATGGTCTACATACCGGCCGTGGTCATCATTGGCTTTTACTTTGAGAAGTGGCGCGCCCTGGCCACAGGTGTGGCGCTCTGCGGCTCCGGTGTGGGCACCTTCGTCTTTGCTCCCCTCACGGATCTGTTGCTGGAGAAGACCGGCTGGCGCATGACGCTGGCTATCCAAGGCGTCATGATCTTGTCTTGCGCAATCTTCGGCCTCGCCTTCCGTCCCATTCAGCCCATAACACTGGGCGTCACCGAGGACGGCACCGTCGTCGATGAGGAGAAGACCAAGCTGAATGGCCATGGCAGCACGGTGGCTCCCACCCCGCAGCTGCATCAAGCGGCGTTTACCAAGCCGCTGCCCGAGGGTCGCTTCGCCTACTCCATGCCCAACTCGGCACATAATACCTACATGGGTGCCTCGCAGCGTCATCATTATCCAACGGCTGCAGAGATCTTCAAGGGCATGAATCTGGAACGTCGTCCGTCCGGCCAGGGCAGCAAGGGCACGGAGCTGAAGCAGTTGCGCAAGTCGCAGCCAACCACGCCCAACGGCGATCCACAGCAGCTGACTTTCAATCTGCACAAGGAACTCACCACAGTCGGCGAGAACGAGGAGGAGGCTGAGAACGACAATCTGTTGGAGACCGAGGCCAAGCCCGTCAGCATTCAGGCACGCAGACACACCGTTTCCGGGCGTCGTCCACAGGATTTGGCCAAACGCGCCGCTGGCGGCCATCACGATCAGAACGGCCATCATCATGGCCAGTCGCAGTCCTCGTCCCGTCCCATGTACAGAGATGATATCTTCTTCACCGGCTCGCTGACCCGCATCCCGCAGTATCAGTCGCAGACCTCGTTGGCCTACCACATGTCCGTCACGCGTCTGCCCACCAAGCAGGACATGCTGGAGGACAGACAGAAGGGCTGCCGCATCTGCCCGGAGGCAGTGCGTCGCACACTCTCCACGATGTTGGACACCAGCCTGCTCAAGTCGCCCGCATTCATGTGCCTGGCCTTCAGCGGTTTCCTGACTATGATGGGCTTCTTTGTGCCCTTCTCCTTCCTGACGGATCGCGCCGTTGACGCTGGCATGGCCAAGGAGTCGGCCGTTTCCGTTATCTCCGGCATCGGCATGATCAACACCTTCGCTAGGATCGTTTGCGGCTCGATGAGCTCCTTCCCCAGCGTCAAGCCGCTCTGGCTCAACAATGTGGCTCTCACTGCCGGCGGCTTGGCCACCATCTTCAGCGGAGTGGTCATCAATGCTACCACACAATGGGCCTTCGCCGTGCTCTTCGGTATCTGCATCGCCTGCTTCTCGGCGCTGCGATCGCTGATCGCCGTCGAGCTGATTGGCCTGGAGAAACTAACGAATGCCTTTGGATTCCTGATGCTGTTCCAGGGTTTGGCTGCCACCATAGGCAGTCCCATAGCAGGTAAGAGAGGAGGAGTCTGCAAGGGATTGGACTTGATTTGATTTCGTTTCTTTCTCTGCTCTAACAGGTGCCTTGTATGCAGCTACAGAGAGCTACAATGTGGCCTTCTACTTTGCTGGTGGACTAATCCTGCTATCTGCCTTCCTCTGCTATCCGCTGTCCTGGATATCCAGCTGGGAGCAGAAGCGCAATGCCAAGAACGAGTCACTATCTCCAGCAGCCTAGAGAGACAGAGACAATGGAATGCCCAAACATTAATTGTCTATTGATAGCGCCCCATTTGTACCATTAAGTGGTTAGTTTAACACTAATTGCCAATCACTCGATGTTGTTGAAGATATTGAAAGCAGCGACAGCAACAGTAACTGAAAAAGCAACTGAATTAGTAACTGAAAAAAGCAGTACAGAGCAGCAGCAGCAGCAGCAGCAAGTCGTCCGAATTGCTATAGCTGCTCAATGCCTGCTCGAAGCATGTACTTGATATGTCGTCGTATTTGTGTAGATCTAGATTAAGTAGCCTTACTCTAAGTGTAATGTTTGTGCCTTTTGCTTTATCGAGTGCCTCGCCTCAATTTAAACATACACATACACACACATACACATACATATATACACATACATTAAGCTTTAGTATTGATTGATCAATTTGTAACTAAAAATTTATAGATATACATATATATATTTCAATCATAAGTGTGAGACGCTCTGTTGAGTGTGATCCGAACGAGGTAGAAGACGATCAAGATAATAATGATGTTGATGAAGAMGATGATGATGATGTTGGTACCTATATCATATTTAGCAGCTGAGCTTATGGCTGGGCCACAAATCGACTGCCAAGTTAAGAGAGATGAGAGGACGACGTTGCATTTGTTTAGTTTAAGAAGTTCAACTAACTCTATTCGGTAGCTATTGCTCCCCCGCCCCGCCCCAGACTTGTTACATAGTTTGTACATATGTAAGTTTCTAGTTATAAGACAAGCAAACACAAACACACACACACACACAGAAACACAACTTACTGCTCTTGATTATTGTTGTTGTTGCAGTTGGGTCATTGCACCCAACTATCCAAGCCGTACTCCACGATCCGTTGTCAACGCTTCGCCTTAGCTGATTATAAAAGCAAACAAAACGTTGGCCCTTCACAGACACACACACATACACATAGATATAGACAAATAGTTATATACATACTCATGTTTATCAACTGATACTGTGTAGAAACCTTAAATAACATCATATCTATAAAGAACAATGAACAGCAAGCAGACAAACAACACAGCATACCAACGCGTATAGTAGAGCTATGTACACTATTTAGTTTATTTAAAAGTTATAAACATTTTACAACAACAAAATGAAACATTTAATTAATTTACAAAATGAAAATATTGTGTTTTTATTATTCTATTATTAAATATACAACATTTGATCAAAATTATTTTAAAGCGTTTTAAATAATTGATTTCAGAGCTGCTAAAAATTTCCTTGAACTAAAACAGTTTTAGATTGTTGGAAAATGTTAAGGTATATGGACGATATCATGAAAATATGACTAGACATATATGTCTAGTTTTCTGGACATGGAATATGCTCTTATACATTCTTCTTTAAATCTAAGTAGTCAAAAATCAGACAACTGGGACTATTTGGACTAGCATTTCTTGGCAATCGCGTAACCAGAGTAGACCAAGACCATTACACTATCTCTAATTTTTACTGTTCATATATTAAATATTATCTAACATACCCAACAAAAAAGCATTCGTAAATAATTCTCATGTCTCTCTTTATATAGAGAAATATTTTTCCATAACAATGAAAATCCATCTCAAATACAAACTAACAATCTTTATTTTCTTTTATTACTTTCGGCTGCACAAAGTAAGCGTATTAACTTAACAGTAAGGAAAAATCGTTATGAACAATTAGCGACTGTGATTATAAACGTTTCGTAGTATATTGTTTTGTTTTTGAGCTTAAATTAATACATTAAATAGATAACGCAGTTGTGTCTTTGGTCATGGCACACACTAATATCCTATTTTTCCTGATTCAATGAATTAATGAACTCCTCCAACTTCTCCTGAATCTGTCGTACTTTAACTGGAATAGAATTGGGATTAGTTGTTGACTCAAAAACTCTGAGAGCATTTACTTACTTAGCTCCTCGGCTAGCTGGACACGCTTGCCTGTGAGCAGCTGCGCTTTCCGCTCCTCATCTTCACTGAACTCATCCAGCACTGCCTTGATCTCTTTATCCAGGCGTCGCGCCTCCCGATTGATAACCTGCTGCCTGAGCGCATTACCCGTCACCTTGATAACCTGTTGTATGCGCCAGAAGAGAACTACGTCGCTGCAGCTCACCTGAAAGCAAAAGCTCAAATAATTATCTATCGAGAAGAACTTCGTGGCATGCATACCTCGCACTCGGAGCCTTGTTGCGTGTATAAATAGTAAGCTTTACGGCAGTCCTTCGCCCGCTGCAGTGCCTGCTGCAGGAAGTGTCTACAATGGATTTACGTTAGTTGACAACAAAATTAAGAAAGGTATGCTACGCACTTTCTGTAGACTGGGAACCATGTCTGTCGGATGTAGTCCGTGTCCACTTCCACATTATCGCGCTGCAGATTCTTGCGGACTGTCGTCAGTTCGTCGTAGCTTAGGCTGGGTAGGTGTTTCTATAATACACGAATTTCAAATTGCATAAAGTTTCAACTTACTTGGCCATACGCACCGAATCATTCTTTAATATCTTGTCCAGTTCACCCTTGACACTGCGTCGCTTCTGCTGGTCCGGCGTCAGGGACTTCCATTGCGCAAAACGCGTCCACGGTCCAGGTCCAAACATTTGAGCTAAGGTTTCCTCAGTTTGCGCAAGTTTAGCATTGACCGAATTCTCTAGGAATTTAACCGCCTGATCCCATTCCGTTTTGTCATGCACGAACCGATCCTCTAATGTGTTCAACTGTATCACCCGGAGCATATCAATGGCTTTGTCCTCCCAGCTATGCCGGCGTATGGCTTCATCCACAACCGCCGCCTTCAGCTGATCGAAGACATCATCGTGATCGTGCGCCTTCTTTGCCCGCTCCATCAACGATATGAACTCCTGTTGGAGCGCCTCCCAGCCTGCCTCCACAGATTTCGCAGGCAACGCCTGCTCCGCCCATTGCCTCAGCTTGATGTCCACCATCGTGTTGAAGGAATCTAAAAGAGCAGAATTACAAAAAATGAGTCTCTTGCAATATTTGGTTCGAACACAGAATTGATGCTAAATATGATCAACAATACGACGACAAATCACATTTAATTGAAACTCGGCCAATGCACTTGAAAATTTAGCATTTTAATTTAAATTCGTCTAATTAGGAAGTTTGTTTTTAGTGTGTTCATTGATCAAATTAACGTTGTTTTAATTGAAATATCGGGTTAAACATGTTCTTTGGCACGAATTTCGTAAATCTGTAAATCACACTTTCCGGCAAGACAAGTACACGCCTCATTCGCACATCAATTCGAAAAGTATAAATATAAAACATGCTGAATCAGATTTGTTTTTGGGATTCTTCCGAATTAAATGGCGCTAATGAAAGTCGAGCATTGGGGAGATCACAAGCATTACATATTTAAGAAATGATTCAGCGTAAAGGGAATGCGGCACCGTCGAAACAGGTTTCCGCTCGCGTGTGAGTCCCATTTCATTATGGGTGATCCGTAATACTTAAGCTGACGGAACACTTTGAATTTCCTTCCAGTACTGTTGGCTGCTTAACACACAAAGACACAAACACACATATATGGTAGATGGACTTCGGCCACTCGAATCGAAGCAGTGGGCGTGGCTTACAACTCTAAATACTTATTAACTACAGAATATTACTTTGAGAACCTGACTGTGCAGCGGGTAGGTAAATATTTTCGAACACATAATTCGAAAGTTTCTCCCACAGTTTGGTTGTGAGGGCGTCATCCCACTTCTTGGCTGAGATCTGTGACAGTGTGACAACTTCATCTAGTATTTCGCCCTTGGCCTTATCGAATAGCTCATCACGTCCAGATTCTCGCAGTCTATAATCAACAATTAAAAAATATATTAAGTTTACAAAACGTTGAATGATTAGTTAATATATACCTGGGGAAGTTGTTTTTCCATTCGGTTTCCAGATTAAATCTGGTTGCCTTAAATGCATCGGCCTGCTGCTCTATAGTCTCGCGAACCATCTTCCAGAAACGATCCGAAACAGCTAAGCTCAGATTTCGACTCGTCACTTGGTGTGGCATGATAACCCCGCGTCGACTACATAGATCGTACAGATATAGTAACGAATAGTTGTGTACTGGAAATGCGTGCTCTACTTACTGAAACAGCTTGGAATTCTTGAAGAAGTCCTCTTCGTATTGCCTTATGGCTTCTATGCTGTCGTCCTTTCGGCCTCGACCGGTAACAACCGCATAGTAGCCAAGCGCCTTCATGGGAAACAATTTTCCCGACAGTATTTTTCTTATCCTTTCAGGATCGGCCAATTCCTCAGCCAAATCCACCTTGGTAAGTACAAAGATTGTGCGACGACCCAGGGGATCGCATTGCATGACAAGATCAGTGACGTTGCTGCGTTCCGCATCTACAGAGCCATCCTGTATGCAAAGTATAATCGCATTCGGATTGCTCATGTAATGCTTGGTCATCTGGTGAATGGAGTCCTTGGTATCCGACGCCATATCAACTGTCATGGTCTGCAAAACAAGCAAGCTTAAATTTGAATTTTCATAAGTACTATAAATTACTTACCGAAATGATGCCCGGTAAATCGACCAGTACCATGCGCTGAAGTCCTGGACCCTTGACAGTCATGGCGATCACCTCATTGCTCACCGTCTTGCCGCCTCGCACAGAAGCACGCATTCGGAACTCCACTTCGCGTCGCAAATCAGCCAGGTCCGACTCTTTCGTCAGATCGTATTCACGATCCGTGTCACGAAACTGGGCTACATGATAGGGTCCCTCAGCCAGTGTTACTTTGACAGGGGCACGAGTCATCATTTCTCCGCTGCCACGAGGAAAGATTCGCGCCTTTGCTATAGACTCCAGCACGGATGTTTTGCCACTGCTCTGATCACCGACAACAACAACGCGCGGCAAATGATCGGCCATGGTGTAGCCCGTATCATAGCCGGACAGTTCGTCCAGAACTTCGGAGTACATGTCAATTAGGGATTTCTTAATTCGCTTCGCCGTCGTTTTTTTGTTCGTTTTCAGTATAAGATATTGCTGACGGAGCTCACGATTCTCCTTCTCCATCTTCTCCAGCTCTTTCTGATATTTGATCTGTACATTCATGATTTCAGTTTGCAGCGTTTCCACTTGACTTTGCAGTTTTTCTGTAATATAAACAAATGACCAAATAAATACAAATTATTCAATTCAATAAGTCTTTTTAGCTAACCATATTTCTTACGACTTTCATCCACAGGAATTCCGAGCGCCGCGACCGTCGCCTTTGACTTAATATCCTCCTTGGCTGAAATAGAGTTTCGATAGAAAATTAGTTGTTATATGAATTGTAAGAAGATTGGGCGAACATAAATTCTCTCACTTTAAATGCATAATGTTCGTACCAAATTGATTTAAAATGTGTAACCTACTTTCGACAATTTGATTTCCTTGATAGTCGGCCGCTTCGAGGGCGTCGTCCAGGCGATTATCGAACCATGAGCGCCATTCCGACAATTTATCTTCGCCAAGCTGCTTGAGCCTCGGATCTACAATCAAACCCCAATTTTAGCGAAGAGTATTTTGTGTATACAAATGTAAAATCAAACGGCTAACAAGCAGGCGAGTGAAAATAAATGGTTAAAAGAAAACAAGATATGCGAATTAAGGTGCATAGTTAGAAACTTAGTTCATCCGTGACCCCCAATTTAATCAGCTAACTGCTATGGCATTTTAAAGTGAGAGAGTGGACGTAGACAATTAATCCGGTCTTATGGATAGACTCACCGATGTCAATGGCATTCTTCACCACGCTGCCTACTTCAATGAGATTCCTTGAGAACTGACTCCATCTCTCACTCTGAGGCAGTGCATCCTCTAGCCATTTCATATCAGGCAGACCCTCCTTCCAATCCTCGTATTTCTGCACGTGCACAATTGCATTTCGCACATTATATAACAGTAATGGGAGACTAGCGATTTCTTTGTACTCACTTTGCTCAATGAAACGCCACCGCCAATAGCACCGCCCAGAACTAGATAACGCAGCTTGAGTGCACCTTTGAGTATCCTCACCACAAACATGCCATAACCTCGCGAATGCGGCGGTATTGTCCAGCCTCTCGCTTGGTTGCCCGCTAACAGATAGTGCTCGTGGTTACGACTATGATGCTGCTCCCATTGACCGCCGGCACCTTTGCGGCGCGATTGCATAGTGATGTTGCATAGCGTGGAATGATTGCAGCATACCACTTTGGTGGAGTAAACAACGGCCTTTCTTGCTGTTCGCCTGCAAATGCAAATGCGAATTCAACATGGGAGAGGCGATGACGAAATCGGCGTATGAAAATTGCCACCGGCTTGAGATTGCCACGTGCAGTGCTTACCGGTATGTGTTCTGATAGATGCGCAACATTATTGCTTGTTGAGGCTACAGTTTTCACACAGTTTACTATGCCTATTTTATTTATAATATTATTTTCAATTTTTTCTCCACAAAAATTTCATAATAGTGATGAGCGCCATCCGCATACTTGTTACTTAACACAACCATCGTAAAGGTAACGATTTGATGTTGCGAAAATCAGAATATTTTGCATCTCTAGCTGATGGAGCCCAATATCGATTTGAGTTACAATCGATGAAAATGCTATCAATCCACGCCGATTAATCTAAAAAGCGCTAAGTTCAAATACCAATTTATATAAAAAAGTCTGCTAAATTTTTGTAGGGTTTATATTTTATTGACTTTATTTGAGTTGGTTTGTACATTGTACGCACATACTTATCGCCATAGAATACAAACATTTACTTGGGAATGCACGAAATCTATTTGTGCGAATGGTGTTTCGAGATTAGGCAACGGTTCTCATCATTAAATGAGTTTAGCATAATGTCAAAAAATGTGCCTTTGTTTTATTGCTAGTTAAAGATTGCATAATAAATTAAATTACTCTACAACTAATATTAAATCGTCGCATATGTATTTTTTTTTTTTAACATTTTCGCTTTTTTTTTATACATACACGTACATGCATATTTTCTATATATTTTCTACGTTTTTAAGATTTAGAATGCACTTTGCAGCTATATTTTTAACGATAACTATTAAGAAAAGTTCACTACTGGAAAGTACTTTCCGAGCCTTCGAATTTTCTTCATAGTGACAAAGCATTTAGAGCCGGTAACATGTATTGCTTTGGTAAGGCTTTTATCTTCCAAAATCAAATCGATTTCCTCGATTGAATTTAGATTATAAATATCTTTTGGTGTTTCGTTGGATTTCTTTTTGTTGGTGTTGGTGTTGCTGTTGTTGTTATTGTTGCTACTACTGCTGTTATTATTGTTGTTGTTAGTATAACTATTATAGCTCTTACTATAACTGGTGTCATTAAAATATTGCTTTTGCTGAAGCGTTGCTTTGGCTGCATTCAATGTGTTCATAATTTGGTCCGTAGTATCGTTGTCCGCCCTGATGTCGAACTCCTCGTCATATTCCTCTTTAGTTTCGGCAACGGAGAATGTGTTTAAATTGTTCAGTGAATTTCTTTGCTCGATATGTTGTTGGCATGCTAGAGCTGCTGCAGTTGCTGCACCACTGTCATGTATATAGCTACGAAAGCGCAGCTCATATTCCTGAGCCTCTGTGATCCGATCCAGGGATTGGCTTTCGCGTATGCGCCGCCTTCGCGCTGATGTGTTCGCATTATCGAATGACACCAATTGCTGTTTTTCCACTTGGGAATGTCTGTCAACATGTTCCTTATGCTGTTTCCTATTTTTCTGTGTATGAGATTTTCGTGTTTCTTCCGATTTATTTGGCTAGATTAGATGGACCAATTAGAATAGCTAATAAAATCCCATAATAATATGGAGTTTTCCTACCTCTTTGCACTGTCCCTGATCCTCCTTCTTGCCACTTACGCCAGATCCACTATTTGAAATGAAATTGGCACCGCTGTTATTCGAACCTGGTGGTGGATATAATTGATCCTGCGAGTCGCTGGAGTCGTCATGCGAGTCACGCCGATGCATGCGAAATCTGATAGGTGTATCGCCAACAAATTTATTGATCTTCTTCTTATTTCGCGTCTTTGTGTCGTCATCGGATGCCTCCGAGCTGCTGCACGATGGTGTTCGGATCTTATTTAACTTGGTACGTCGATGCGTCAGCACAGGATTCTTGCTGCTGCTGGGCAATGGTTTCAGCTTGCCAATTTCCAGTTCCTTTAGGCCGCTCAATGTGTCCTCATCCACCTTGGCACATTTATCCATTTGCTTCAACTTCTGAGCAAGCGTGGTATCAACGGACACAACAATCTTTGTGCGTGTGTTTGTTGGCACTTCAGCTTTTGGCGCTGGAGCTGACGAGCAGCTTCGTTCCTGCACCGAGCGATTGAGACGTCCATCTGAAATAGATTCGCGACGCGTCGTGGCGACTTGTAGCTCATTGCCAATGACACACCCTTCATTGGCTGACTCCTCTTCGTCCTCCTCACGCACAATGCTGCATTTGCGAGTTCGTTTGTCCTAAGGACATTCATTTCATTAATACATTTTCAATATAAGCTTTTCCCTTTATCTTACAGGCTTGGCATTATCGTTGGCAAATTGCGCTGCCGGTGTCACATTTATGCTAATAGGCACAACTACTTTGGGACTTTCCGTTGGACTCGGCTTATCTGCTGTCAGCCTGCGATTTACATCGCCCAGTCTAAAAGATAAGAAATATAGATTATATATATATTTATAATACAATTGCACGTATTTTRACTCACTTTAGGCCCGACTCTTGCAGTTTTAGCTTGTTAGCTTCCTCTCGCCGCCTACGCAAACGAAGCTCAGCCAACAAAAAATATGTGGCCGTTATATGATTGTACTTATTTTTATCCAGAGCTCTGTTTTGAAAATTTGAAAAAATTAGTGAAGTTAACAAATGTTAACTATGCTGTTTACTGACTGCAATATCTCTTCCTTGGACGCAATGTTTCCGTTTATCATTTTCTGTATAATGAAGGCATGATCCTCTTCGCTTAGCTGCTCCCGGCTGACAAGTGGCAGTGAATGCTCCACTGATTCCGGCTCATTGATTTGCTTTAGCCAAGCAGACGAAGCGATTTCCTCAACAGTAGCGCGATTCTTTGGATCACGCACGAGCATTGTGGCAATCAAAGTACGACATTCCTGCGTCACGTGCGACGGCACCGTGTACTTGCAATCCATAATCATAGTCAGCGTCTCCGAGTCGTTGGCCTTCTCAAAGGGTGCCTGCCCACATACCAGCATATACAGTATAACGCCCAGTGACCAAATATCTAACAGATAATGTCAATAATTAAAAAGAGCTTATCATGTGATACAGACACACGCACACCCACGCCCACACACGCACACTATCACACACGGCTACAAACACACTTACCTACGGCGGGCGCATCGTACGAGTCACCCAATAGAATTTCTGGTGCCGAATATGCGAGACTGCCACAAAATGTTTCCAGTTTTTGGCCCGGTGAGAATTTGTTGCTAAACCCAAAGTCCGTCAGCTTGACCAGACCCAATTTCTCGAAAAATACAACATTTTCTGGCTTCAAGTCTCTGTGTTTCATGGAAAGCGTTACGTAAAGCGTGTGTATACTATTTTCGTTTTATGTATTATCTATGCTTACCTGTGCACTACGTGCAGCTGATGACAATACGTGATGGCGCGTAATATTTGACGGAAATATTTGCGTGCCAGCTCCTCGGTCAGCCCAGTATCGTGCTTCATTATATAATCATAAAGATCGCCGCCATCGCCAAGCTCCAGCACGAGATATAGCTTCGTCTGTGTGTCAATCACCTCATAGAGCCGCACCACATTTGGATGCTGTACCAGCTTCATGCAACTGCAGAGAGAGAGAGAGAGAGAGAGAGAGAGATAGAGAGAGAGAGAAAGTTTTCCGATCAGAATGAATGTCTAAGACCTTTGAGTAATATATAGCTTACCGAACTTCCTGAAACAAATGCGCTTTAGACACCTCGTCAAGTTTTGTCTTGTCGACCACTTTCACTGCCACTTTGGCACCTGTGAACACATGCCGAGCAAGTTTCACTACGGCAAAGTGTCCCGAGCCGAGAGTCTCCTCTAGATCGTATAGTCCGGCAATCTTGCCATCGCACAGGCCACCTCCAACCGGTTGTGTTTCCAAGGTCATGATCCTGCTTATCTCTGCCTCTAATTCGACTTTCCGACTATGCAATTCTATGTGTGTAACTGAAAAACCACTAGAAAATCATTTTTGATAAGTAGTATGATGTTTTTTTTTTTTTTTTTTTGGTACAGTACTTCAAAAACCGCAGCCCCTGCACACAGCTTGTAATTGAAATGTTTGGAATCTAATAATCATATTGTGCCACTCATTGCGTAGTCAATTACTATTTTAAGACTTCGTCTATTATACGTCATTCTTTATGTGGTCGATTTATTAAATCCATTTCCAATTAGCTAAAAAGTTTTCACTTTTGTGTCCTGTGTCCATGCAGGAGCAGCAGTGCACTTGACAAACAGGGCTGTTATACAAGGGGGGAAGCAATGGGGCAGGGCTGTTGTTACCGTTTTCCAGTAGCCGATTCACGAGAAACTATAATATGGGCTCCATTTTTCAGCTTGCTATTGCGTACTCTGCGTTTATGTTGCCGTTTTAACGCGTCCTTTATACACTTTGCGGTTTATCACACAGGAAAAACACTTATTTTAAACCTTTTGTGTATACTAGAGTTGTATCGAATCGTTCGGAATAAGTTCGATCGAACGACTCACTGAACTGAACGACTAGATAGTAGCCCAGTTGGCTCTAGTTCTTATTAATTTATTGCAGCCCTGGGCTAAAATTAATTTAACATTTTACTGAACTGTTGTTACCAGCGCGCTCTGTTTATTCAAGAGCTTATCCGTGTTTCATCAAGCAGTGCATGGGTGTATAATTTATAAATTGACCCAGTTTTGGAGCATTAATTTTAATTAAGAAAGTAAGCCCCGTTATAATATTACATATAAAAGAAAAAGTTATTGTTATTATAAATCGCTCAAAATTCCTTTAAAATTATATGAAGGATAAGTACCGCTTCTATTTACTTTACACCGGTAGCATTAGAACACAGAGCCTGTAAAATATCGACTATCTTATCGGAACTTTCAACTGATCGACAGGCCACCACTTAATTCCGTGCTAGATCCTCAACCAATCAGACAATAACACACATACTTCCTAATTTCCATATTTTATACATTACTATAGTAAATACCATTCTTAGGGTTATTTATATAGAAAAATCATACAGTTTTCATATATTGGAGGATACAATAACGATATGGCTGATTTGGTCTTCACCTAACGAGCTACTCATCTATATTTATTCGTGCCACTGAAATAAGTGCGTAAGTATCGCCCATCTCTATATTCGAGTGAACTGTCTGAGGGCATAAAAACAATTTTTGTATTTTCCTTTTAGCAAGTGGTAATTTGTGGTACTTTTAAATTCGTGGATACAGCAAACGGTCTTTTCGCATGTCCTGGAAGCTTCGGTCTTCCAGTGCAGAGCCTGTCCATGCAGTAGTCCATTGGTTAGCGTAGAGTTCAAAACACCACATAAAAAAACTATTATCAAAATTCTCAATTAAAGTTGTATTATAAATCATTCGAAAGCGAACCATATAATGAGTTTGAGTTTCAACAATTCACAAAAATGCTCGTACATAGAAAGTAAGCACTGCACCGAATTGGACTTGGGTCAAAAGGTGAGCCAGCCCTGCATCGATCTCTCTTACATGACTATTCATTTTTTCAACACCTTGAACTCTTATTCACATAGGCAATCAACAACAGTCTGTCCGTGCGCAATATGCGATACCAAGATAAGGATAAACTATTTAGTTATTCACTGAACTCGCTGGCCAAGCGAGACGACATCGACGATGAGGCCACTGGCTCGGGTACAGGTCTCGTTGGCCTGCAGAACATTGCGAATACGTGTTACATGAATTCGGCTCTGCAGGCGCTGAGCAATCTTTCGCCTGTTACACATTACTTTATAAACTGCAGTGATATAGTGGAGCATATTGCAAGCACCCCACGTGCCAAGCCAGCGGGCTTGGCCAAAAGCTACCAGCGCCTGATGCAGGAAATATGGCTGGATGTCGACGAACCAAAGGGTAAATGGCCTTTGCAGCTAATCGTCAAGACAAATTAAATTTGTTCTTAAATTGTAGATTATCTTGCGCCGCGTGGAATATTGTACGGCATTCGATCGGTGCATCCCATGTTTCGTGGCTATCAGCAGCATGATACCCAAGAGTTTCTACGCTGTTTTATGGATCAGCTGCATGAGGAGCTAACCGAGCCCGAGCCAGCACTGCCTCTGCAGCAACAGCTGACACAAAGTCAACAGCAGGCAAGCGAAACGGATGACGAGAACTATGATGATGTTCCAAAGACATGTCACACGCCGACAGCATCGGAGAGCGAGTACGATACCTGCGAGAGTAGCATCTCGGACCGATCCTCGGAGGTTCTAATGAAGACCGAGTACTATATAGCCCCGCATCGGAATAGCAGCAGCAATCCAATATCCGATGTATCCACCACGCAACAACAACAACAACAACAGCAGCAGCAGCAACAAAGCCCGAAGTCAGTTCCAGAATCGAAGCCCGTTGAGGCAGCTCATTCAATTATAAGCGATGTGTTCGACGGCAAACTGCTTTCGTCTGTGCAGTGCCTGACATGTGATCGCGTCTCGACACGCGAGGAAACATTCCAGGACCTTTCCCTGCCCATACCGACACGTGACTTTCTGAACGTGCTCCATCAGACCCACAGCCTGAGCGTGCAGAGCCTTAATGCAGCCGACTTGGCATCGACGCGCAGTAACGAGGGCTGGATTGCCTGGATGTGGAACATGGTGCGTTCATGGATATTTGGTCCGTCGGTAACACTGTACGATTGCATGGCCAGTTTCTTTAGTGCAGATGAGCTCAAAGGCGATAACATGTACAGGTATGGTATATAGATATACCTTATCAAATATGGATTGTACTCATTTCCTTTGCTTGATTACAGCTGCGAGCGCTGCAACAAGCTGCGCACTGGCATTAAGTATTCCCGTGTGCTCAACCTGCCGGAGGTGTTGTGCATCCATCTAAAGCGCTTTAGGCACGATCTGTCGTACAGCTCAAAGATCTCGTCGCACGTGTACTTTCCGCTCGAGGGCTTTGATATGCGTCCCTATTTACACAAGGACTGCACCTCGACGGTGCCCACCTACAATCTGTGCTCCGTCATTTGCCATCACGGCACCGTGGGAGGGGGCCATTATACGTGCTATGCGCGCAATGCTTTAAATGGGCGCTGGTACGAATATGACGATCAGCTCGTCATGGAAGTGACGCCCGACGTGGTGCAAAACTGTCAGGCCTATGTGCTATTCTACCAAAAACACAATCCCCAAATGAAGCTGGTACGCGAGGAGGCGATCAACTTGTCCACATCGAATCCCTTGTACGAGGGTGACATTCAGTTCTATGTGACGCGCGAGTGGTTGTCACGATTGGCCACGTTCGCGGAGCCGGGTCCGATCAACAATCAAGAGATGCTGTGCCCACACGGCGGCATTCTACATTCCAAGGCGGCGCTAATCAGTCAGATAGCGGTGCCCATTCCGCAGCCCCTGTGGGATTTTCTGTACAATCGTTTTGGCGGTGGTCCGGCCGTCAATATTATATTCGAGTGCGAGATATGTAAGCGAGCCGCCGACGCCCTTTGTCGTCGCCAGCAATACGAGCTGGCCGTCTTTACCAAATACAATGTGCAGCAGAGTGAACTGGATGCCACGGCCATCTATGCGATTGCCATGCCATGGTTGCGCGCGTGGCAGCAATTCCTGCGCGGCATAACGAACAAGGAGCCGGGACCTATAAACAATGATGGTATTGCCGACACCAGCTATCAGAATGGCTCCACCATCAGCTGTGTGCGTGCAGGATCGGATTATGCACAGTTGAATGCACCACTGTGGCGATTTCTGCACGGCATTTATGGCGGTGGGCCGGAGATATTGCTGAGAAGCGCCTTGTCCGAGGCCGATGAGATCGAGATAATCGATCAGGACGATGACGAGGATGATGAGGACATTACAGCTGACATTTATCAATACAATCACTCTGACACTGAAAGTAATCTGGGCAGGGCCCAGTCTGACAGTCATAGTGTTACGCCCTCAACATCGCCAGAGCCGGAACTGCGACCCGTCGATGATGAGCAGGTGCCGCCCACTAAAGCCGAACCAGCCAACCCAGAACTGTTGCCCAACGGAGTGATCAACAATGCCAATAATAATAATAATAATAATAAAAACAGTTCAAGGCGCAGCCGTGCGAGTGCCAAAACCATCAAAGTTGCCGCATTGCGCATGAATATGCGTAAACGTGGTCGAAACTTTAATGCCATCAAGCAGCACACCGATATGTTTGGTGCCAAAGGTAATTATAGAGCCGGGATGACGTCTATTAACAATTAAATGATAATGCTATTATTGCCCTAGGTCAATACAATGTACATTCGAATGCCGGTGCTGAGGCTGAAGTGGAGGCTGATAACACCAACGAGAATCGCGAGAAGGATGCGCGGGTGACAGTGATAGGCAATGCATTTCAAACCGAGTACACGATACCATTCCAGAGCGATAATTTCCAGGTCAATGGATCGCGCGATAAGAAGCGCGAGCTTAACAAGTTGCGCAACAAGAGCAACAACAACAAGGAGAACATTAAGCTGCAGAAATTCGTGATGCTGCGCGATACGAATGGCGGAGCCAATGAGGAGACTGATATATGATCGACAGCCAGTGCAAATGTAAGAGGTCAACAAGCATTTTCTATGAGAGTCAATCGCTGCCGACGTTTAAGCCAAAAGCAAAGTTTAGGCATACAAAGTAGTTAAATACCTCACTGTAACACATGGGGTGGAGGCTATATATATATTTACTCATATATATATATATATATATGTATACAAATACATACATGTATATATATACATATACATGTATGTATGAGCTATGTAAAAATTGTATTTATAAATGGAAACACATGGATTTCGAAACATACACAACGGTAGTCCTGGTACGGGACGCGTTGCATACAAACAAAAAAGTAAATGATAAATGGATTTATTGGTAGTTATACAATAAGCAAGTGTACGGCTCTTTGTTCTATATCTTTAATGCCCTCCCTCCCTCCCTTCCACTTTTTTCGTAACAAACTCTCTTAAATTTACTGAAAAACAAATTGTACATACTGTAGCAGCAATCAAATACCTTAAGATACAAACACAACACCAAAAAAAAGAGAAAATAAACAAAATCCAACAAAAAAAAGTTTGCGAAAAAAAACTATGTTCAAATTCAATTAAAGTTTAAATTCAAAAACTGACATTCATGCCTTAATTGTTATTAATTAATTAATAATTATATAAACTGTAAATCGAAGTTGTTTTTGAAGAGTAATGATGTTGCCTTAAATTTTGTTAATTATATAAACTGCAAAGAAAAGTTATTTTTTGAAAAGTACGGCCAATCCATGTCGGGTTCGAACACTTTTGTTTGACCTTTTTCAACTGTTTTCATATGGTCTATGCAGTTTTCATTTGATTTCTCTTCATTTTGTTTGGAAAACGAACTGCTGGCTGCTAGAGTAGAAAAAATGTTCAATGCTTGGGTCTGCCACTTTGGTTGTATGCATTCTATTTATAGAGCCCTGTGCTCTGCTCTCTATGGCATCTGCCCAGCTCTCTTGGCCCACATCTCTGTCAGTCAGTCAGCCATTCAGTCGGAAACGTGCACATTGCATTGTGCTCAGAATCGTAATTTCTAATAGAAAATCTATAAATCTATAATTGAAGTGTTTGCGACTTTGTCTTTGCCTTTGTCTTTGCTTTGACATCAACCGGAAAAATGAATTCTTGCAATGTTTGCCAGGCGGAGACCAAGAACAAATGCTCCAATTGCAATCAGGTCGCCTACTGTTCGGTGCAGCATCAGAAGCAGGACTGGAAATCGCACAAATCCAACTGTCATCCATTTAGGGTAACTAAATCATCCCCGACTCTCTGTCCATTGCCAGCTATATACCAGTTCTAACCTCAAAAAATAATCGGCACAATTTTCAGGTAGCGCACAACGAACTGCTGGGTCGTCATTTGGTGGCCACACGTAACATCAAGCCCTATGAAATCGTCTTGAAGGAGGCGCCGCTGATGCGTGGACCGGCGCAAATTTCGGTGCCCGTTTGCATGGGCTGCCTGAACTCCATCGAGCCCAATGATCACATCACCTGCGACAAGTGTGGCTGGCCATTGTGCGGTCCGGAATGCCAGGCGCTGGACGAGCACAAGGCCGAGTGCCAGCTGACAGAGGCACGTGGCCAGAAAGTCAATGTGCAGGAGTTTAATGGACCGCATCCATTGTACACCTGTGTTAGCACGGTCAGGTGTTTGCTTCTCAGCGAGACGAATCCGGCGAATGCTGAGAAATTCCAACAATTGGAGTCGTTGGAGCAGACACGGCGTGGCTCTAATCAATGGAAGGCGGATCTGGCCAGCATCGGACAGTTCATACCCAAGTAAATATAGATATAAAATTATTTTTATAGATAATTTATATTTTTAACTCTTCCTTTCGTAGATTCTTTCGCACTCAGAAATTCAGCGAGGAGGAGATCATGCGCGCTGTGGGCGCCTTGCAGATCAATGGCCACGAGGTACCCACATCGGATCCGCCGCACGTGGCCGTCTTCTATACGGCCTCCTTCACGGAAAACTCCTGTGTGCCCAATCTCGCCAAGAGTTTCACCAAGAACGGCCACTGCATCCTCTGGGCCCCAAAGGCCATAAAAAAGGGCGCAAATCTTAGCATTTGCTACTCGGATGCGGTGTGGGGCACAGCCGATCGTCAGCGTCACCTGATGCAGACGAAGCTCTTCAAGTGCACCTGCGAACGTTGCGTGGATGTCACCGAGCTGGGCACCTACTATAGCGCGCTCAAGTGCGAGGATCGCAAGTGTACGGGTCTGCTGCTACCCATCAAGGCGGATGACTGGAATGGCTGCTGGCGGTATGTCTACAGATTCTTGCCAATTCGTCAAACTACCCTCGTTTAATATTTAACTTATTCCCTTTCAGCTGCCGCGAATGCCAGAAGCAAGTTCAGCGCAAATATGTGGATGGGATATTGGAACGCGCCATCAAGGATATTCAAAGTATGGAAAAAACCGCAGAAAATGGTTTCAAGTAGGTTTCTTATTAACTAAATTACAATATTATATAATATAGATCTGTAATATCTCTTCAGATACTTGAAACACTATGAGAAATGGCTGCCCCCACAGCACTATCATCTCAGCGAGGTGAAAATTCTGCAGGTGCAGCTCATTGCCAAGGATCAAAAGGAGCTAATGGTGTTGCCCGATGAGCAGCTGCAACTGAAACTAAAGTATGCTAAGGAATTGATTGAGCTCTATGAGATCTTAGCGCCTTGTAAGTGAAAATCGGAATATCTAATATAATGTATACGTAGCGTATACTAAATATATTTATTGTTTAGGTGAAGTGCGTATGCTGGGCACCCTATGCTTTGAGCTGCATTCAGCAATTGCTGAACACACGCGACGCGTAGCTCTCCAATCGAATCTTTCTCCCAAGGAAATGTTGGAGGAATCTTTGCTGTATGTGGAGAAGTGTGTTAATTATTTGCAATACGAATCGGACATATTTGTGGAAGGTCACATTTTAAAGCAGGCAAAAATCAATCGCGACGCTTTGCGCATGGTCATTAGAATATCTTAATCACTCTTCCTTGACATATTTTATTGATATTGTGAAAAAAGAAACCAAATAGACGCGCTCTAAATAAACTGAACATACTTTTAGAGCATTCAGCTATTTGTCACGTTGTTTATAGCAGTCACCTAACTGAGTCAAGCATTTTATTTGGCGTTGCCAGTGGGCTGCGCTACCAGTGCTGTAAAAGCCTTTTGAACACTGACTGTTAAATTTGAAAATCAAACATTCAACAATTGAAGTGCGCAGACTCGTTTCTTATATTTACACTTACATTGCTGTTTGGTTTGTATCTAGCAAAGGAGATTTCAAAGTCAAATATATCCTTGAGCTGTACGCCGTGCGGCAACGGTGGTGTATAACAGTGTAAAAGGATTTGCAAGCAAAACAAGTAGCGCAAAAAGTAGTTGCATTTTCTTAACCGCTCTTAAAGGCGTGTGCAAAGTTAACATTAATAATATTCCATATTTTTACACAAAATAAAACAAAGATTTTACAACTGGAAATCCTACAAGTAACTACGACTTGTGTCGATTTACAATTACAATTTTTATAAGGTAAGTTAATCAGAATTAAGTAACATTACGCAATTCCTTAACGACATATGGACAAGACAGTAATTGTATAGCTGTATCCTTAATTATATACAAACACACAACTAATGTACATAAAGACATCTCTAATTTGGCTGTTACCTTTGCATGTTATTGGCATATGCCGTTACTGTAGCATATTAACTGCGTAATTCGTAACAAAACTGGGCGTCTGCGTGAGCAAGCATATGTACATACATACATTCATACAAACATTAGTACATGTATAGCAACATAGTACATACCTGACTTTGTTCACGCCATAATAAAACATTATTGAATTCTAATCTAGTAATCAAGCCATCTCGTGCATAAACAACTCTTCCAATGACCATCGAGTGCATAGTAAATAAATAATCTACTCATGGCATCCTATCAGCCCCTGGATATTCCACTCAACAATGAAAGTGTTCCAATCACGAAATGAAAACAAAAGAAAACCACATTTAATTTCTACAAATGTACATACATATGCATACATACATATGTATGTGTTTTCGATGGTTATAAATTATTTTCATATCAATAATTATAATCACAAAGCGTGGACGCTGGGCTTTAGTATTTTTATTTTTATTTTATTTGTACTGATCGTCAACAAAGGGTCTAAAAATAGCATCGTCTTGTTGTAGAGTTCATTCCGGTTAAATGTAAACGATTATAATCAAATTTAATGTTCCATTGCTGCATAATTTGTAATATGTAAATCAAGTGCCCAGGCTAAATCAAATGGGGTGACTAAGTCGTTAAAAGCAAGTGGACTACATTTTCGAAGACCGATGGCGCCAGCACACAGAATTCATAGTCGATCATTGTTTTCATGGTATTATGAAAATTGAATGGAGAATTCCATTTTCAATTAAAGTGTGGCTCAACAACAAATAAATAAATAAATTAGCATTTGAAYAAAAACTTCCATGCGCTGATCTCGCAAGCAATTGACATATGTATCTACTCTGCCATTGGCATTATTTCTTTTATTAAAGATGAAAGTTAAATTGAAAACATAAATTGAGCTTAATTAATGGATAAATGTGTGCGTAACTGTGAAGTAGCCATAAATTCATTTCGCAATGTCGCATTTTATGGAACTTTCGCTCTTTTTCGGCCTGATCTGCATATACGCGTGTACATTACTTACTACTTACATTTACTTGCATGTATTTAAAAATAACTATATACATACATATGTACATGCAATGTACACACATATGCATATACAAGGAGATTCATTCTCAAAATGTGGCTGCTATACAATTCATTATGTTTACATTTTAAGTGTTGCGTAAATTCTTACTGCTAAAAACTGACCTCATCGCAATTCAATGAAATTTACAAATGATTGCTGAGATTTTTATTATCAGGATGTAAAGATATTAATACTTGAATTTATGTATGCATATATGTACATATGTATATATGTATGTATTGCAAGTGTGGCAACAAAGAACAAAGACAGTTTTACGCACAAAAGATGTTTGTATGTATATATGTGTATACGAATGTACATGTATGTATGCATATTGCGCTTTCTATCTCCGCATTCTGTTTTGCGAGGAACATTTCTATAGCTTGCGAAGTAGCGGTCGTCCAATGCCCGAATGCGCTTTTATCCCAGCTAAGCGTAGTTTGAGGGTGAGACTGAGAACCAAAACAAGAATCGACAGAGAGCCAGGTAAAGCGACAGAGCGAATGACTGACAGAGTGAGAGAGAGAGCGCGACAATTTGTGTGAGAGTGAGCAGTTTGCCGGCTGGTGTGCTTTGCACGCGCTGAGTGCGTGATAATCACGCAACGCTCACATGTTTGCTGTCTGTTGTAGCTGCTCTTGCTGTTGTTGTTGTTTTGGCMGTGCTGGTGTTGACCCTCATTTCCATTCAAACATCGCTCTTACTCGCTTTAACAAACAAAAAAGCGAACATACAACATATACATATACATAATTCGAATAGTTGTGTGTGTGTGCTTCGTGCTTTTATGTATATGAGTGGCAATATGGCTCTTTGAGTGTGTGCATAATCGATGTAATTGTGTATGTACAAAGTTGTTTATTTGTTTTTGATTGCAAACAAATAATAAATAAAATCTTCTTTAATGTAAATATAAATTATCAATGGGTTGGGTTCTATCTCAATAGCTCTCTTACTACGTAATGCCCCACGCAACGGATGGGAACGTGACTAATTCAGCGTTTGATTTTATGTCATAGTTTGTATACATATGTTTCTAAATATATTAGATCATTTAAAAATACTAAAGTTGAGGATCCCCTTGACAACTGGTCCACGCGACGCATTTCTGTTTATACAATATTTGTTTTGATTATCAATTTGCCCCGATAAACATAAATACATATGTATGTATGTATATTTATGTATTCATATATTTGTAGTAAAGGGAATGCAGTATACAATCATTGTTTTATTTTTTACTTTGATTTTGTTTACGGATTACGTCGGCTTGTTTTGTTGAGAATTTTTAATTCGATTTGCAGGCATACATATGTATGTAAGTACACATACATACATACATACATATATACAGAAACGAATGAAAACAAAAGATAAACAATAAAATACTGGATGCTCTACACTGACAAAAATGATAATGTTAAAAGCCTTCACTGCAGATATTGAGTTAAATATATTTCGTATTTTGTTTACTTTTGTATACTTTAGTTTTACTTTCTGTGTATGCATATTCAAAAATACATTAGAACTTTTGTTAGCCAAGCATCTATAGCCAATATATATATATATATATATAGCCAATAAATATGTTAAATGTATCTCAGTGTGCACGCTCAGTGCATGCATGCCATGCATGTGCAGAAGTTGTATACGTGTGTGTAAGTTCAGTGTACGTGAGCGTATGAGTGTTACTGTGAGAGTGTGTGTGTTTAGCTTTTGGATTTTTCAACTCATTCCACAATTGTTGACACCATCGCTGCTGCCGTCGCCGTCGTCGTTGCCGTTGCCGTTGACGTCGCTGCTGCCGGCTTCATTTGCTTTTTAGAGCGCGCATCGTCTGGGGAAAATTTCAGTTGTTCTTTGGAAGTGCGCTCGATAAGTCCAGTGCTGGAAAGAGTAGTCGCAGTTAAAAAACAAAAGAAAAATCTCGGCGTTTGTTGAGTAAACAGTGTCAAAAGTGTTTTAAAAATAATTCAAGCAAACAAATTTAACAAAGTTTACGGTTTATTAAAAATAAATATAAACATTACTAAGGCTAAGTTAATATAATAATAAATATGCCGGTCGACATTTGCAGTCAGCAGCAGCATACAAATATGATAAGCTCCCTAAGGTAAAACCCCTATCAAATTACTTTATAGACTTTTCAATTGATCCCATAAAAGTAAAGTTTTAAACGATTTCCTTAATCAGAGTGAACAACAATTAATTTTGATGAGGTGAATGCCAATTACACTCAATCTTAAATATTACAAATCTATAATAAATATTTTTGATTTAACCTAACGGGTTAAGGTGCAAACCATGCTGTCAAACGAATCAATATAAACAATAAATGTGGTCGGGCCAAATGGTCAATAAATAAAACATATCGAAATTGCAATAATAAATAGAAAAGTTCTCTATTGCATATTTATATATTTTTATAAATACTGGCACACCTGACCTTTTTCGTACATACCTGACAAACGTGTCCACTTAGCAATTGAATAACAAAAACTGTTGTTTTCTTACATTAAATCAACTTATTGTAGTTGGCATTGAAATCAAGATTATTCTATGTAGGAAATCAAAGAAAAGTGGTTTTTCTAACAAATTAAAAATTATGATCTGCGCATTTAAAATTACAAGGATTAATTATTATCTCATGTCGCTCTCCAAACAATCTTCTAAAGTGTTTACATTGTGTTGTGTAATGAAAGCCAATGCGAAATGGCCTTGTTCCCAAATGGGGACTAAACGATAAAGCGTTCGCGTTTAAATAAAAAATAAAATTATTGATAAAAAAAACTTGTAATAGTACATAGAGTATGCAAATGCTAACTTGATCGCTTTATTTTTATAGAAATTTTTACTTTAAAATATAAAATTTGTACTCTTTTAATAAACAATAAAAATTGTATATAATTTTGATTTATATTGTTTACTAATAAATACAATATTGTAAAACTCTTTAAAATTTATTTTATTATTGCCCGAAATGAAAATTTAATTGTAAGTTCTATTTTTTTTTTTTTAATTCTATTACAATTTTATCTTAGCTGTGATAAACAAAACTTATATTATACATAT